AAATGATGTCTCTTTGCTCCAGGATGATTCTCCTCTCCATTTTCCTCCCAGCCTTTGTCTGAATGTCCCCATGAATCTCTTTTCTCACCCTTCTTCGTTCTTTCATTGTGTCTCATCTTTAAACCTACTGAAGCACTGTTTCCTCCACTGACCATCTGCCCTCCCTCACTGCAGCTCAGAAGTAGAAATGTTGAACCACACAACTGTCACAGAGTTCCTTCCCTTGGGCTTCCTCTCCCTCCACCATCAGGAGCGCAATCACTCCCCTGGCTTTGTACCTGCTGATCTTAGGAGGAAACCTGCTGATCATTTCCCTCGTTCTTGCTGAAAGAGATCTCTACAGGCCCATGTACTTTTTCCTCTGTAACCTCTCCTGTTTGGACATCTTCATTATGACATCCATCATACCCAAAGCCACAAGAAACTTGCTGATGGTCAGCAAAGCCATTTCCTACCCAGGCTGCTTAACTCAGGGCTACTTCTACTCCCTTCTGGGCTACGTTGACTTTGTCCTTCTGGCTGTCACGTCCCATGACCATTACGTGGCCATCTGCCACCATCTTCAGTACCCCATGCTCATGAACGGTCAGCTTTGCCTTCAGCTACTGTTGGGCTTGTGGACTGCGGGCTTCCTGGCCACCGTTGTCTCCACAGTCTTGGTTGCCAAGATGATGCCCTTCTGCAGTGCCAATCGATTTGACCGCTTTTTCTGTGACAGCGTGCTTTTCATCAAGTTGTCCTGTGCAGAAACACAGATTGTTGAGCTGATCACCTTCATGCCTTTGTCCATCATCCTCCTGCACTTAATGAACATGACAGCAATGGCCTACCTTTACATCATTAACACCATACTTAGCTTGTCCTGCATTTCCTCACAGCACAAGACATTCTCTACATCCTCTTCTCACTTCATCATTGTCATCTTGGTCTATCGTAGCTGCATCTTCCTGTAAGTCCATCCTGCGAGTCACCACATCTCTTATAACAAGACCGTGGCCCTTAACACGGTGGTCACTACTTTGATGTGTCCCTTTATCTTCAGCCCGAGGAACCAGCTGATGGAAGACGCTCTCAAGGCAAGCTTGAAGAGAAGGCTGATGACCTTCAGGAAACAGTTTCTCACCTGAGAAGAGATTTTGTAAGTGAATTTTGAAAGGCGAGAGGGGTGAGGAGGGCAAACACATGATTATGATGCAATTGGGGAAATGAGACCTTTCTTCCTTAGGAGCATGAAGTTTCCTGAAATGAATATCACGCCAGGTTCACTCCTGCAACAGCTCATCCTAAGACCTTATACAGAAATGCCTTCATAGAAGGCACGGCGAGGCGAGGCGAGGCAAGAGAAAGGCAGGCGAGGCAAAGCGAGGTGAGGGAAGCCGAGGCGATGTGAGACGAGGTGAGGCGAGGGCAAGGAGAGTCAGGGCGAGGAAAGGGCAAGGCGAGGTGAGGGAAAGGAAAAGCAAGGCAAGTGCAAGGCGAGGCGAGGAAATAGTGAGGCGAGGCGAGTCAAGGGCAAGGCGAGGAGGGGCGAGGCCAGGAGATGCAACCGTGAGGTGAGGCGAGGGAAGGGCAAGGCGAGGCGAGGTGTCCTGGTTTCAGCTGGGACAGAGTCAGCTCTTCTTTGTAACAGCTAGAAGAGCTCCGTGTTTTTTATTTTAACTGAGACTTGCTCTGAGAAGAACGCTGATGTTTGAGAAGAACGCGCACTGATGTTTGTAGTTGGCACTGAGCTCTCAACTTTTCAGCTGCCGTGTTCTTGCCAGTGTGCGGGACACAGACCGACGGGCCTCGGTCAAGGGGTGGTGAGCAGTTACACCGGACATCACTCATTCGCATGTATTTATCATTGTACGTATATGTATGGGGGAACATGGCCGGGACAGAGGGTCCACGACTCTCCTTATGATTTGTGCTTAGACTCAGGATGGAGGGCCAAATTAGCCAATTAGCATTCCACATCATGCAGTGTCATGCCAATATAAAAATGAGGATCAGCCGGAAAGAAGGGCCTTTGCTCTTCCGGGACTCTCACTCTCGGACTCTCGGAGTGCTCTCTGTGTCTCGCTCTCTATTTTCGGGCCTCTCGCTTGTCCGGGATTGCGGTGTTGGGACTTATCTGTTTCGGGATTGTTAGTTCGGAACGAGACGGGCCTCGGTCAAGGGGTGGTGAGCAGTTACACCGTACATCACTCGTTTGTATATATTTATCCTTGTACATATCTGTATATATTAATATATTAGTAGTAGTGGTATTAAATTGCTCTTGTCTCAAACCACTGGTCTCTTTTCCTTTTTTCCTTTAATTCCCTGTCTCATTCCCGGGGGGTGGGGGAGGGTGAGTAAGCGCCTGTGTAGCGTTTAGTTGCTGGAGCGGCGTAAACCACAACATCTCACTAGCCCTTTACCATCTGGTGAATGCACCAAGGAAACTGAGGTCTTGGTGTGGTAACCAGGAGACTTGTTGGTTACCAAGAGTCATTGCTGGTTACCCAGAAACCCCTGTTGGTGCAGTAATCTTTAGCTCTCATTGGCTACCCGGAGACTTTGTTGGACACTGGGAGCCTTACTGGATACCAGCTGCCCTTGACAGTGCGGCTCCTGGGAACCCTTCTTAGTGTATCCGTTGGTGGTTACCAGAAGCCCTTGTTGGTTACGGGTAGCTGTGGTTGGTTACTGGGAGCCCTTGTTGCTTACCGAGAGCCATTTTTGGTTGTTGGGAGCCATTGTTGGTTTACAGAAGCCCTTATTGGTTATTGGGAGCCTTTGTTGGTTACCAGGAGCCCTTGTTGGTTAATGGGAGCCTTTGTCGGTGCAGTTACTGAGATCCTAACTTGTGCGGTTACCAGGAGCCCTTGTTGGTGTGGTTACCTGGAGCCATTCTTAGTTACCAAGAGCCATTGTTGATGTAGTTACCGGTGTCACTTATTGGTTATTTGGGAGCCCTTGTTG